GCGGCTTGCATTGGATATCGGCTGCCGGATAATGTGCGAGCATGAACAATGAAAAAATGGTCCTAAAAAGTTAGAACAGTTGGCCGAGAGGCGAAGCTTTGGAGGGCAAACGTGATAATATGAGGACTATTTCACATTGTAGTGGGAATACAAACCAAAAGGTTAATTCACRTGACAACTTGGAAACTTACCATCAAAATCGTTGACAGCATATATAGATGATCTTAATATGTTTGCTTTTTGCTATATCCAATTTCCACCATTCTCATATTTTTCCTTTCCTCATTACTAAGATTATTAGCATCATATTCATCATCACTATCTTCATTTCTTGTAACAAAACACATTATCAAGGATATCTAATAGGAAATAATCAAATGAAATGTTTTATTTTATTGTTTTTTTACTGGCAGCAATTGGAGCCATTGTAGTGATGATATTTGATCCCGTAAAGCCGTTTATAGACGGAAAGCTTATAGATCAGTAAGTCGCTACATCCCCATTGTTCTTAGAACATTGTGGTATACAAGACATGAATGCTCTTTTCTTACAACCTTTATGTATTAAATAATACACATACTAGTCTCTCCTCCTATATGCCTCTTATATAATTTACATGTTCATTTGAACAAAGTTAAACAAAAAAAAAAAGAAAAAGAAAAAAAAAATCCAATCCAGAGTTGAAGATAAAGTTGAAAATAAAGTGTTTTGGCTTTGATTTCTCCCCCCCCCCCCCCCCCCTCTGCCTTTTGTCAATTTGTTTACTTTGTAAACCAGAAACAGCAATACAACGGTAGCTGGGAAGATTATCATGGTTGATGTGCTGCCTCGTCCATCATATCCATTGGAAAGACCAGTAACACTACGAGTATACAGCAAAAATGAAATGGTACTTAATTTGCAGTGTGACATATATGATTTTACTATCGAAATGTGACTCTCTTTGTCAATTTTGTAACAATAAACCAATGACTTTGAATTTATTTCCAGGCAGGGTCCAAACCAAGCTGCGTGTTTTGGGAGACATCTTTAGGGTTTGTAAACTAAGAAATACCTAATACTATTCCCTTAAAAATACCCTTGAGTAGTGATGGATTCCGTATACAGGGGCTGATTTTTCACATCGCATTGCAAATACTTGGAAGGTGGGCAAAATTCTCCTATTTCACTATCGCGGTACTTAAGAAACAACGCGTCTTTAAAAAGTCATCATTCCACAGGCTTGGGCATCCTGTGTCTTTGCGTCTTATTTCATTCGACCCGCGGCCAATTATTTTGCTCCGACAAAGTTACATTCTTCTTCAGTTAGAATGTTATTTCTTGAGAATGTGTATTACATTTTAAGTGAACCCACRTGKGCTATTGCAAGAACCTTCTTTTATTCTTCCTCTTGGACGTTATCTATTAAGAATGTGTATTCCTTYGTACCCACATGGGCTATTGCAAGAACCTTCTTTTATTCTTCCTCTTGGACGTTATCTATTAAGAATGTGTATTCCTTTGTACCCACATCGGCTATTGTAAGAACCTTGGATTCGGTGAAATATCATCAGGGTGGCCAAAAAGTAACAGTCACTCAGTTGGTGCACTTCCTCTAAAACATCGGTTAGCCCTAGCGTTAGCCCCAATTATTTTTCTGGCAYACGTGAGACACTTGAAATTAGGTTAAGAGCGTTATATATTTCATTTCAACCATAGCTCATTTAGGCATATTGAAAATAACGAAAAATCACCAAAGATGCTTTGCAACACCTGATAACAGCAATAACGACGGTRCAGTCATTTTCACTTTKGAAACTGAATACTTTCTCATGTAAATCAGATTAGACCAGGTCCAATTTTTCTTGTCTCCTCTTAAGGCTGCCATCATGTCATCACGTGATAGTGCAAAACCACCCTCTATTGTTAGTGGGATCGTCAAAATAGGGTTGACCTTTTAAAACTCTGTAATTAAAACAAACAAAGGCGAAAACGTTTTTACACTACTAGAATGTGACTTTTTCTGAGCAATATAATGATTTGGATGAAATAGAATAACGAGAAGCCGTACAAACGCCGAGAAAACCTTTTGGAAACAGGATACCCAACTTTTGGCCCCAAATTCGACATATAGCGATTTCTGAAAAAAAAAAGTGCACAGAAGCTGAGTTGTATTTTTGGAAAGAGTTTATAGGTCAATTAMATATAAGCAATTTAGATTTTTTTGCTCTCGTTAAATATTAATTGACTCATTATTTTATGTGGATTTTTTGGTAGCCCTTGTTTTTCTCTGCAGTGGCTGGTCAACAGCTGGTTGTTCTGTCACGAGAACCCATGGGAATTTAACAGAGTGTCAGTGCAATCACATGACTCATTACGCTGTGCTGATGTCACTTGATGACCAAGTAAGGAACCTATAAGTATCACCAGCTCTAAAGGGGCCTTTCTATTATGTTTTGTGTACTCCATCACTTCGCGCAGACATTCCTCGATCCATTTATCCATCACACCTTTTCTCAAAACAAAATGAGTTCTCCGTCCCTCTCTGAATCAAGCAGATAATTGTCTATCCATTTATCCTTCATACTTTTCTATATAACAAAAYTTTTATAATGTTAAATGAAAAGCTCACTCCATGGATTTATTGRTTAACAATAATAATTTTACTCCGAAAAGATCAAAACTATTAGCTATTCAATGCTCTCTTTTCTGTTACTCACTCATTTACCAATCCCTCCACAACCTTCAACTAATATATTAAAAATTTTGCTCTTTTATGTTTTGCAGGTCATCCCAAAGAAACATCATCAGGTCATGACCATGATTACGTACATTGGCTGCTCTCTATCCATCATGGGGATCTTCTTAACCACAATCACATTCTTCTGTTTACCGTAAGGAGAAATTATCCTATTAATGAAATATTTCACAATCACTATAAAGGTATACTATAAAACACTATTTAGTCACCTAAACAYTACATGAAATCCTTATACACTTACATCCAACCGACGGGCCTAAATTTTATCACGTGCACATTTTAGTTGAAAGAATTGACAAGCTAATAAAAAATTATGCAGCTTTATGTAGACGATGTTTTTAAACTTAAGATTGATAACTGGATGACCATCAAAAAAATTGGAGTGGAAAGCTAGGAGGTAAAAAAAAACATTCTGTTTTCAGGGTTTTGAAATCAGAGAGGACGAGAATTCATTGTAATCTTTGCCTTGCTATTGKATCAGCACAAACCCTGTTTCTTGCAGCTGGTACTGAGGAGCTTACACAAAACACGGTAGGTTAAGACTCTTAATTGGTATTAAAAAAAAAATGGATGGACGGATGATATGGGATGGGATGAATGTATATCCATCCATCTATCAATGGATCGAATGGATGATGTATAGAATGGATGTATAAAATGGATGTATAGAATGGATGTATAGAGTGGATGTATAGAATGGATGTATAGAATGGATGTATAGAGTGGATGGATGGAAAGATAGATGGCCTGGATTAATAAATTTACGAGATGGATGGATGGATAAATAAATAAACAAATAGAAAAAAATATGCATGAATACATGGGAAAAGGAAGAAAGGACAAAGGATCGAAAGAAAGAAAGATAAAAAGAAAGAAAGAGATAAAGAAAGAGAGAAAGGAACGAAGGAAGGAAGGAAGGAAGAAAAAATATCATATAATATCATAACTTCCTATTTTTGCTTATGGTCAGGTGGCGTGTAAACTCTACGCTGCTGCTATGCTATATTTCTTCATTTCTGTCTTTACCTGGATGTTGGTGGAGGGAATTCATCTTTATCAAATGGTTATAATTGCATTCGTTAGTGGACCAATGATGAAGTTTTACTACGCGCTTGGATGGGGTAAGTATAGGACACTTGCACAGTTATATCATTGTTGCACTGGTCATATATATAGTACAAATAATGTTGAATACAAAGTCCTCACGGGCCTTTAATGGTCAAACGTGCAAATTGCCGTTGATGGTATTTGCATATATATGCAAATTAGTCCATCTTATTAGTATAACCACTTTTATAAGTACTTTTCGCTGTTCTCGTAAACGTTGTTATATTTGTCCTCACATTGTCTCTCACACTTCTGTTGTCGGTCCTAAATCAACTGTTAAAATCACTGACCTCTCTCTCTCGCTCCAAATTTATAGTGAAAACCTTTTACCAGATTATAATTCTACGCAGTTTGACTGCATCGCAGGAATTGAACGTAACATAGTTCATAGCACTAACTGTTACGCAAATGCTTTTAATTCAGAAATGTTAAAATGGCCATGGATTGTTTTCTGAATTTCTTTGATGTCGTAAATTAATCTAAGTGCTTCTTTCATAACTTAGGTTGCGCCTTAGTGCGGTTCTTTAGAAAAATAACGAATACCGTGTCGAACTCAATTTTTTATTTATCTTTTTTTAAGGAAAAATATGTTGGATATGCTTATGCCAAGGTTAAAAAMATTTATTTGCCCTATAACGTCCTTAAGCCTTTTTATTCTGATTCATTCGGATAAAACTGAAACCGCCAATATATCTTTTTAAGGTTTCCCAGCTGTAACTGTGATCGTTACAACAGCCATCGCGTATAAGGATTATGGCACCCCTAATTTGTAAGTATAACTGAACCCTGGCAGACCAGTTCCAATCGCAAGGTTAAATYTTCAGTCTCATTTTAACTTTGATGAATCATTTTGATTAGCTGCTGGATTTCTCTGCGTGGTGGTACGATTTGGGCATTCACAGGTCCTGCAGCATGCATTATTTTGGTAATTATGAAATGACTGTTAAGAAAACATAATATTGATTTTAATGAACCAAATAATTTTGTCATTGTCCTTTTATACCCTCCCTGATTTATCGATTATCTTTTCTATTAACCATAATTTATTTTTTGTCCATAGGCTAATATGTTTGTACTGGTGTCTGTTTTGAGACTGAGAGTAAAGTTAGACATCTCGAATGAAATGCGACAAGTAGCCAAGTAAGTCGCACTGATTATAGCCTTATTTTCAAAGGGTGGCGCACCACTGATCTCTTGTCTGAAACGGAAAAAGCTTAACGCCTGCCCGTGACCTAGACACGCGATCACTCGATGAGTGTTGTAATGTTTGTTCATGGGAGGATTAAATGAAAAAAAATTGGGTTGCTGTTAATGTTTTTACTGCCCTAGCTTTCGAGGAAAATAAACAGATGACATAAAGCACATGCACTGGCATGTATGGACAAYTGATAAGTGTTAATTTGTTCGATTGATGTCTAAAGACTGGATTTGGCTAAAAGAGGATTATGTTTAATTTTATACTGCTCTGAAAATAAAATCCTTGACCCAGGCCTGAGCTGCAAACGTGCAGCCACTGCACAAAGGARAAGTGTTAATTGTTAAACGTAGATGGAGGGTTAGATGTAAAAATACGAGCCTTAGAAGTGYTGTTAATTAAGATATCGTCGCGCAGTAAGCGACTACTGGCTCTTGTACGACAATGTTTTTTCTCGAGTATGCTTAAAATCATTCAGTTAATGACACGTACAGGGTCAAGAGAACGATAACTTATCACAATATTTACATTGTTTTCGCCAAATTCTCATATCGTACTGAGAAACAAAGCCMAGAGGTGATAGTTGACTAGCGCTGATTTGCATTTGTAAGGTTTTGAACAGGGACGGCGGAACACTTTTTAATGTGGTGGCGGCGGTAGTGKGTGGGGGATGTTAAAACGCTTTTTAAGGAGGAGAATGGTTAATCTCTGTTTTCATTAAGGCAGAATAACTTGCCATTCTTGTAAAAAAAAAAAGTCGGCGTAGAGGCTAAAACCTCAAAAATAAAAAGACAGAAACCTATTTTGTAACACATGCAACTTAACCCTAAAACAGCCTTACTAGAAAACTGCGTAGAGAGGCCATGTCCTTTCTCTCTTTCTCTCTTTTTCTTTCTTTCTTTTTCTTTCTTTCTTTTTCTTTCTTTCTTTCTTTCTTTTTCTCTCCCTCTCTCCATAATAATGAACGAGACTAAAATTAAAGTTGAAACCGAATTAAGAAAAGTCTTAGTCTTTGATGTAATGAAGAGAAGATAGAAGTAATGTTTTGTAAGGCCCAGGTATATCGCCACACCACAGGACCCCCATAAGATTAGATGGGAGAACCTACATAGCACATAGCACATAGTTGATGTAGTTTATTCGGGAAAACTATTGTATGCTATTGTCGTTCTATCTATTGTATTAGATGCGAATCATTTTATTTTTAAGAATACATTACATCAACTGCTTGCTACGTAGCCTCTCCCAAGATTGGATGGCCCACGGAGATCTAGAGGCTTCGTCGGAATATCACTCTACGTCACAATATTACGAAAAGAAGTTTCATATACTACCGAACTAGAAATTGTTCCTATTAATTTGCTGAGACTTAAATCCAGTACTGAACTTTTTATTGAGAAACAGTTATATCTTCTGACGCTATGATTATAGTAGCCATATTTTGGGCCATACTTGATTACCAATATGGCCGCAATATGTCCCATACATATCAGAAATATGATTCAAAAACATTAAATAATGATTATACTAGCAGTTGCATATTCCAAGTATGCAATACATGTGAGATGATATCTAAAGTAGATGAATTGTATTTTTCGACCTCAATAGGTGATAGCGAGAATTTGTCTGTGCCGTACATATGTCTAGAGCTAATTAGGCCTTCTTGGGTCGGGCGCAATGTTTTCCCATTTCGACCACATGTCATTCTTTTGTGATTCTTTTTTTGAGTTGTATCCATATCATGTCATGTGTTTTCTCGAGTTATTAGTCTTCAACATGCCACACTGGTCAGACTTGCGCCACCGGAAGTGTTTAGAAAAAAATTAAGATTCATAAGATATTAATTATTTGCAGACTCTATAATTGCACGAATAATGACGGCTAGTCAATCATTCTACAATAATACATGGATATTTTTGATGAAAAGACAAAGAAATGCATTGATTTGTCATATTTTGTAGTTTCGGTTTTGTAGTAGAACAAAAATCCCTACAAAATTTATCTTTTTCATATGTTAAAAATATAAACTTTTTCTAAAATGTTAATATAACCTAGACTTTTTGAAGTTTTTTTCGAATGAGCTATTAAAAAATAGAGAGTACCATGCAAAATTTGAGGGTTTTGCCCTGTTGAAGCGCAAAACGCCTATGGTTCTTTAATAAAATCTTGTAGATTTTTCAGCGGTTTTTGAGCGCGCGCATATCGTGGGCTCAAATCGAACGTTCAAAAGTTGACATCCACCTTAATAAATGCTATCAGCAATAAAGATGCTTGAGTTTGGCCTGAACAGTTTTGGTTGAAGTAGCTAAGATTAAAACATTATCTTTATTGATCTAAGGGACGTGCTATAAACGCCAGACTCTCGGACGGTCCACGCGACATACGTAATGGAAGTTGATTTTTCGGTTGGAAGAACGTGCTACATGTTCTGAAAATCAGCATCTCGCCACAAAATACACCAATCGAGATTTTACAAGCATGTAACATAGACTGACCCCAGTGCAATATCAAAACATAATGCTGCTGCTCGCTTGGCGGGCAGATTGATATTAGATTGATTTGATTTGGTGTTTGATGGGCTGTTTTTCTTCTGTTCATTCGTCAGGACTGGTGCCCGAGTTTCTATTGTCCTTTTGCCTCTTCTTGGGATGACCTGGATTTTTGGCTTCTTTTCAGTCATACCAGGATTTGGCATTGTGTTTCAGTATTTATTCGCCATCACCAACTCTTTGCAGGTGAATGTAGAGTTCAAAAATGTTATAATCAGTTCATCAATGTTTCTATAGCAATGATATAGACTCGACCAAGCCAAACAAGCTCTAGTGAATTAATTGGTTTGGATACCAATTTCATACAGTATTTCAAATTCTTTTTTATTTTAACTGAATCTTTCTCGATTTGAGACAGATGAGCASTAAAGTAGCGCTTTATAATAAATAGGATGAATGGGTACTTTAGTGATTCAAAAGGTGTACACGGAGCCAAACTGATGAAATAAGTTTTAACTCGATGTGATGTCTATCAATACTTTAATACTTCTTAATCATTAAATATTCAAAGTGTAGCCCAAAAGCTAGCGTGAAGCCTAATATGTGTTTTTTTGTCACTTAGGGCCTGATGGTGTTTGTGTTCCATTGTGTTGGAAACTCAGAGGTAATCATGACCATAGCAAAAAAAATGGCGGTCCTTTCCATGACTTTTACCCGGCGGGGGGGGGGGGGGGGG